TTGTGATTAGCTCAGGGCGGAAGGAGCAATACCACGATTTTTTAACAAACAAATGGTCAAAGGATCGGCTTCACTTGTCTCTTCGACGAGTCGTATTGTGGTGCTAAGGCTGCCAATGCTTACTGAAGATGCCGGCGAAACGTCTGGGAATGTACCACGTCCACAGTCCTAATCTGGAAATGATGATGCATACAATGGACTCCGGACTATTTGCGTTCCTCTAAATCCTTCAAAACAATATGGCCAAGTTTAGAAAACAAGGTCAAACAACTTTTACGAATATACTCAAATTAATTCGAGATCTTAAACAAGCTCTATGCACACTTCTGGAATAAGATTACTCGATATGTTTGTTCGATCAATTAATAGACGGTTTGGATATAAAATGAGCACCTAACAAACTGAACTTAAAGACGCCAACTTAAGTCTGGAGCTGGCAAAACTTATTCACTACATCCTTTGCCATCCCTTGAGCTTAACGATACATGCTCTTCATCAAATTCTAGGAGTCATTCACCTAGGTATGAATTACTCTGGGGACACGCGAGATGATACATGTAAGTTTTGAACTATTTCAGGAAATTACCGGAACTGGCAAAAATATTTACGATTTTAACCAACTGGGGCCAAGTCACTGAAAACTACTTTGGTTAACGTTGTAATTAGTTTACTTAAAAAATGTACACTTGAGAGATTTTCTTTAGTCCCATCAAAAGCCGAGAGACCATGCTTCATGGTCTACAGTAAATTATTTTCCTTCTTCTAATTTGGGACGGACATATTCAATTAGGTAACACCTTCCATTAATGACGAAAGTTGGCAGAGACTTCGTGCTGCAGGCATCTCTAAAGTAGGCAGCATTCTTTCTGAACACAGATGCACAAAGCATATTTCTGTTTTATTCTCTCCTGTCCTTCATCCAATTTTACAATAGGTCAGTCATCTTGTCATGAATTACGCCGGAGATATATGAGGTAGTAAATGTAGTTTTTGGACTATATCAAAACTACTAACATGCTTACGATTCTAACCAACGGCAATATAATTGTCAAGAACGACTTAATTTTCATGGATGTGGATAACTTTGGGGAGGAAGGGCTTTACGAAACTCAATGGAAACGCCAGCTCTACTCATATCATTGTGGGAAAATGCCACTATCAGTCCTTCATCACCATAAACTAAATAAGGTGAATGCATCCAATAGATCTGAGTTTTTTTCCAAATTCAAGTCATTCTGCGAGCAACCATTTTCCTACTTATATCATCTAGATTCCTGTTTACTCATTACGTCAAAAGGCAGAAACAACTAAATTACCTTGTTTAGGCGACTCTGACAAAGCGAAGCCTACTACAGCCTACGACAAGTGCTTGAAGACGTCGGAGTTGAGGATACAATGTCAAGAGTACGTGCTCCCGAAGGCTTCATTATTTCCAGAAATCGACTTGTCTGATGATGACTCAGGTGGGACGAGAGAAGATCCTATCCACTTAGGTTCAACATGCCCTTCATATTTTTCGTTGTCTGGGCAGGCCTTACAGCCAGATGAACCTAGCCTTGGGCAGCCTGCCTACTAGCAAATTATATAATAGTAGTATGTTTCGAATAAAGTTGGAGATTCTGATGATACTTGGGCGGATTCGCAACTGTAGTTTGGGAAGGATGAGCAAATTCTAATTTCAATATTTCAGGACAGGAGAGAGCGGCAAATAAGGCAATTCTGTTGAAGTGGCTTGATGTAGCAATAGGACCCAAGGGAACATGAGGAAACGACTTCAGCCGCCTCGATCCAATCAGATTCCAATGGTGAAATTCGCTCTAAATGCCCGAATCGATGACCATGAAGGCTCTTCTGCCTCTGCATCTGCCCAACTGAGGCAAATTATTGGCCGATGCGAAAAACCAGCTCAGGCCCGGCGTTCTTATCGAGGCTGGCCCTGTCTGGATATGCAATTAAAGCCAGGCCGGCAGGCCAATTTAGACAGGCACAGTCTGCCTGCGTTGCCTTGGTCACAAATTCGTCTGGTAAACTCACCACATATAAGTTCTGTTGGCAAAATATTGGACTGAAATCTGGTAATATCGACTCTTGGACTCTTCGAATTCACCGGATAAAAGCTACATTACTCGCATGGAACAGGTAGTGCGACATGATCAAGAGTACTAAGGTGAGTTTGTGCTGTAGGCACAAGCCGACTTGAGACTTTGATAAATTCACTCCAACGACTATACTCCAAAAGAACCTGCTGGCAAAGGACTTGATAAACGGGCAGCCATCAAACCGATTATGCCATCTTGAATAAATAAATCTACACTAACCATAAAGATACGGACGATGAAAAAAATAGTGATGAGGGTAAGAAGACTTCGAAGTTTGACACCAGCAGTCTCATTGTTTAATTGCAAACTCCAAATATTTGTGAGTGAATATGTGGGTGAGCAAGCGAGAGAGAAAGTTTTTATGCGAGTTTGTGCGTGGGTGAAAAAGTGAGTGAGTAAATGAGAGAAGGAATTAGTGAATGAATAATTGATTGAATGTGTGAATGAATTAATGGTAGAATTAATGAGCAACTTAGTGAAAGAGCGAGTTATTTAGTAAGCGAGATGGTGAGATTACGGATCACTTTGAGCGTGATCGGTTGAATGTGTGAGTTTTTATGCGATTGAATAAATACGTGTTTAAAAGAGTGAGCTAATGACTAATTGAATAAGTGCTCTTGTTAGTAAGAGCATTAATTGAGTTGGTGAATAACTGACCGATTGACTGGGTTAAATAATATGTGAGTGCCTGGATGGCTGAATAAATCAATCATGAAATAGCTGTTGAATAAGGACCTGAGATAATGACTGAGTGCGTGAGTGAAAAAATGAGTGTATATATGAGTAAATGCGTAATTGAGATAAACGATTTGTGAGTGTGCAAGCGACATAATGTGTGGGTGAGTGAATGAATGAGCAATTAAGTATGTGAATTGATGACTTGTTGGGTGATTTAGTGATAAAATAATGAGTAAATGCGTGAATTTCTGAATTAATAAATAAGTAGGTGAATGTCTAAGCGAACGATCGAATGAGTTGGCAAGTAAAAGAAAGAATGAATGAGTGAATAATTGGGTCAGTGAGTCAATGAATATTTGAGTGATAGAATGAGTAAATACGTGAGTGATTAATTGAATAATGCTTACGTGAGTAAGATAATAAATTAATGAGTGACTGCGTGAATGAGTGATATAGTGAATGAAGTTTTACTAGGTAAATGAACGAGTAAGTGAGTGATCAAGTGATTTCGAGAGAGAGTGAGTAAAGATGCAAGTGGGCAAGGGAATGAGTGAGTGGAGTGAGTCATTGAACTGAACAAGTAAGCAAATGTGTGAAAATAAGTAAGTGAATGAATATGTGAATGGGTGAATGAATGACTAAACAAGTAAGTGAGTAATTTATTAATAATGTATTGAGTGAATATGCGATTGAGTGAGTGAGAGAGTATCGAGTGAGTTAGTGTCTAAGTGAATGTGTAAGTATGCAAGTGAGTACGTGAGTTAGTGAATTAGTGAATGAATGACTGAATATATGATTAAGTGAATAAATCAGTAAATGTGTGACTGAGAGATTAAGTGAATAAGTAAGTGATTGTTGGAATGAATCAGTGAGTGAGCTAATAAGCGAATAATTAAGTGAATGAGTGTTTGAGTGAGTTATTGATTGAGTAATTGTGTGAATGGATAAGATTATAATTACGTGAATTATAGAGTGAGCGACTAATTGAGTGTGTGCGTGTGTGAAACAATGAGTAGGTGAGTAGATTATTGAGCAAGTGAAGGAGCGCGAGTGTAAGTAAGTGCGAGAATGTTTGAGAGGGTAGATGACTGATTGACCGAGTGCTTGTCTGAGGGATTAAGAGAATGAATGAATAAGTGTGTGAGTCTGAGTGACTGGGTGTGAATGTGAGAGAGAGTAAGTAAATAAGCGAGCGAGAGACTGATAAATAACATAGTCATTGGTTTAGTGAGCGAGTGGGGGATTGAGTTGAGGTATAAGTGATTGAGTGAATTTGTGAGTAAGTGAATA